TCGTATTGGGTTTACGGTGGTTTATTCTTTGAAAGTTTTTTATTGTTTGAATATCTGAATAATATTTACATAAGAAATTGACACATTTAGTGCAGTACATCATATTCTAAACCTTTACACATCTTCCATTGCATACTTATGAAGAGAAATAGCTACATAATCATAAACAAAGAAAATTCTTATCCCAAACAAAATATTCAGGTGTTCTGAAATGTTATATTTCATTTACGTTGCCAAACAGGTGCGTGTGTTGCTCACAAAAAGATATGCAGTCAAACTGTCTAATTGTTCATATATTCAGGACATTATTTAAATGGAAAAATCAGTCATTTTATGTTTAAATTCTGACATAGAAGCCAAGACCTTTCACACAATTAATGGAAATTAGGTGAGATATATATTAATCAGCATACCAATGTCGTCTTTTTCCGACATCGCAAAATGCATAAAACAAGCAATGACGTCAACTACAATGTTGTATTATTTTCAGCAATTTCATTACATTTGAAGATATGGCTAGTACTCTGGTAATAACGATGCAAAATTAGTCAAAATACATCTACACAAACAGGAGAATATGGGAATCTAAGAACTAACTTATACATCGAATAGGGCCATCCAAATCGCTATTACGTGCTTTGACATGTAGTACGTTGTCATCTTTTCTTATAAATTGTGAAACTACCAAATAGTTTGGTTCACTGTGAACAAAAAATAATGAAAGTATAGCGTCCATATCCACAACAAATACTTTCCATGTGATATGAGTTACATTGACCTAGTGTTAAGCATAACAGAGTTTTTCTTAATATCTGTGGCAGACCTATTTCCTCTGAACAAGTCTAGATAAATCCCTGTATGAATCTATGATGTTCAATGATAATCACTTATGTATACATGGACACTAACAAGATATATGATGACACTTGTTATGATGCTGACACACTGATACCTTACTTGACAGTGATATCTACAGATTAGAGATAAGTGACAGTTTGATACTGCAGTTGTTGTGACTGGCCTTGACATGGCCTTATATAATCAGTGTATCTTTGCAGTGACCGACTTATGTCACTTAACCCCAAATGTTACATAATTTTGCATTACACTATTACTCGCCATTCCCAATGGTCATGTTAATATTAAAACTTTCAAACCTTCAAACAAATGCAACTTACACTGGCATTAAAGATATATTTTTTAAACAAAATACATTTCACAACGCAAATTGCTTTGGGAGATTTGCATTCCTACCCATCCATTGGAATAAAAACCTTCATTATCAGAATTGTAGTCAACACTGTGTATAGCACCTAGCATGAACATGGTGAAATAATAGTTTTTGATATGTTATTATGCGCAATAACTTTATTCCTTGCCCGTGGAAGATACTGAACTGTAATATTTTTACAGCAATATCACACTAGTGTAATACCGCTAGACGTAAGACGTCATAATGGTTTACAGTTATGACATCACAATGCTAATACCTCTGTCACACTGCGATTTGTCACACTGTAGGCAATTTCTGTCAATTTCTGTTGAAGAGTAATAAACAGACTATCTAAACTTGCTTCCGTGAGATACCATTTTATCAAACTCATGAAAGATTTAGTACCAAATCATTAACTCATTTGATAAAAATAGTATTACACGTAAGGTAGTTTAGCATGCTTAGTATCCTCTATAAATATTTCGTCAAAATTGTACATTGTAGATTTCCATATCGATGGCAGTCTTGTACAAAACTTACAAGTAACAGTCAGTGAGTTTAGATTTACGCCTCACTCGGCAATATTCCAGCTATATGGTGGCGGTCCGTAATTTGTGTAAATAATCGAGTCTGGACCAGACAGGGAAAGAAACCTTTCAAAACTAGACCTCAGGACCAGTGAGTGGACAACAATTAGTTTGAATTAGTGGCCCTGTCTGTACTTCACTTGTCCAAAATAACATTCGTAGGTTTACTATCACTACAAAATTCACTGGCCAACAGGACCACTGCAAACTTATCATTTAGTGGTGCTGATGTATTTTTACTAGCCAGGGACCACAGGACCAGCGTAAATTTTGCATGATCATCGATCTATGCAATTGGGAACCGATGACATATTTCAACCAAGTCAGTGAGGCTGACCCGATCCTGTTAATTGCCTCTTACAAAAGCATGGGTTACTAAAGATCAATTCTAAGCTGTATCTTCAAGGGTCTACAACTTGTACAAGTTACAGAGCTATATAAATGACTTTACATATAATTTCATAACTGTTCGTATTAGCTTTACATCTGGCATGTATTTGCTCAATAATTGTTGATATAAACAGTGCCAAAAAATAGTGAATTCACTGGTGTGAACTATATTATTTTACATCTATATATTGACAGCTACAATTCCAACCCCATATGTTTGTATGGGTTACCACTAGGGCTGCAATGAATACACTATGTGGCGAATAGGATATGTATCATGAATATTGGGGAGAAAATACGAATAATTATTCACAAATACAATATTGTAGTTAAGTGATTGATGCACAATATAGAATGCCTATGTTGACAGTGTTTATTTGTCACAGCAATAACCAGTGATCTCATGACACTCAGATTTGGTATGTAATAGTTTATAGTTGACAATACAATGTGTGGCCTTGGCAAACTAACATGACTTGCTCTAGTGCAAGGCTAGTGGATGTTCCATTCTTGCATATCTCACTTTGAAAAAGGACACAAGGGTTCAATTAAAGCACACTCCCTTAAAAATTTGTAAATATTTGTTTATATTCGGTTCTGGGGACCACGAATAATGAACTGAATTCATGAAGGGCTTCAGTTTGATTCACCGAATATGCGAGTGAATCATAACAGCTTTAGTTACCACCCTGTCAACACCCAAGTATGTAAAGATCTGGTACACAGGGAGGTGAGATGTCTGACAGTTTGGACTGACTGACTGAGTTTGGTTTTACGCCGCTTTTAGCAATATTCCAGCAACATCACGGCGGGGGACACCAGAAATGGGCTTCACACATTGTGCCCATGTGGGGATTCGAACCCGGGTCTTCGGCGTGACGAGCCAATGCTTTAACCATTAGGCTACCCCACCGCCCCTGACAGTTTGGACCTCCCAACAGTCCAGAAACTCCATCATTGTCTTGTTTGGAGTCCAAACTGCTGCCAAGTTATTTGTGATAATTGATATACCATGCCATCATATGATTCCATGGTACTTACGTTTCCGTGGTATTTTCTAATGACATAATTTCTCACGAGCCACTCGCCAAATCGTGCCACCTATCGATTGTTTACTTTCATCAGTTGATCGGCATGGGTCTGAACAAAAAATGTTCGAACTTATCAATTTGCTAACGGCGTACTTACAGTCATCTACTATTAAAAACTAATGCAACTTTATGTCTAGCACGTAATGCATTTGTTGCGCGATCTTTGCAAACATTTTCTATAAACTTACTCAGATTCAAAGTTTTCCCAACATCGCTCGTCTGCTAGCTGATGGCATCAATAAAAACAATCACGTGACCTAAGGGGGGAATCCCAGCTCTATTTTTTAAACTATAGAAGCCCGATAGGGTCATCTCTTAAGTTGTTTTTTCACTTTTCATTTCACGTATCCCGTATCAACTCTACATATTTTTTATGAACTTGAAATGTGACTACTGCGTTAATTCTACAAAATCGTTAACTGTATTACAATTTATCAACTTCGATATTACTGTAAACCTACATTGACACCCCCAGATTGGCTGTTGACAACCTGTGAGATTGTGACATGTGCTGTGCGCCCGTAATTTTATCTGAAAGAAATACCACAGAAACATATGACGTCACCAGAATTTGTGCACAATGGTCGCCGGTCGTCCGATACGGACAACAATGAACTTCAAAATGACAAAAGTGTTTTATTGACATTAAATGATACAAAGGTATGTCGTCTAACACTATATTATGTTTATATGACTTGGCAATATGAGCGATCATATTCATAGTCGTAAATTTCTTAATACCACGGAAACCTATGACGCGAGGGTATATGAACACATAGATAACACATTCTGATGCATATGAATATTTGTTGATCATTGACATGGACTTCATGCATCATAGTAATGACTTTGTGTCAGAGTAGCCACGCTGCCACAGAGTACTATATACGGTTACTTACAGTTATAATGCAGAAACTATGATAGCAACACTTCATCACTTTAAACTCATTCAACTGTTCAAAGTTTATATTAAAACAATATTCATAATAATAATAATAATAGGCCATTTATATAGCGCCTTTCCACGTCATGAGTAGTATAACTGTATGGAAATGTCAAGAAGTGACTGCTGTAATTATCTTGATCCTTATGAACACATATATTAGCTCCTTATTTTATTTATTAAAATGATAGATTTCATAGTTCATGCAGACATAATCATGAAAATGGGTGTCATCAAAGAAAGAAGTAATAGATATACTAATTACTATTTATACCATTCATCATAAGTAACAAGGTAAGTTTATCGAAACAGGATAACTTAAACCTACTGCAACTCACATAGGTACAAGTGCCATATGTTGCATTTAACAAATAATATTTAGGTAAAACATCAGTTCTGGTGCCAATCAGACTAACTTATAACCATTTGGATCAGAACATAGACCGACAACATAAAATCGGCTTATAATCTTCAAATGAACACTACCGATAAAACTAAACGTGTGCAAGCTTCTGAAAATCTGCTACGCAAAGAGTTCTTCCTTAATATTTATACAAGCAAGTTCACACAACACACAAAGTGGGGCCTGAATTGGGCGATCTGTCATTCTGTAAACACACAACTGAATCATATAGTGGTAAACAAATCTGACAGCAACGCTGTAGGCGTGGTGATGAGGAACAATCGACACACATAACGTTTTACCACCCTCGGGGTGACTGGCAATAACAACAACGTACACAATGCAAACACAATTACGGGCAATTAAGACCTACCGTGTGATTAATTCCCCACATGAACACACTGAGTAGAGGTTCGTTTGCTCGAAACAGTTTCCAGTTCAGAGCGACGGGCTTGAGTTTTTTACTCAATCCTTTCTTAAAGGATGCCATCCTTCTAGATATTGCACAGAGCCGGATTAAAGAGGAAATATATAGATTCACAAATATCCACTGCAATTCGATTGCTATACGTCGTAATTTCCGAACATTTTAGGTTGAATGAGCAGCTAGTGCTGCACGGAGTCTCTGTTTCAGACAATATGGCGGCCTAGCGTATTGGTTACCCACAATCCCAGATTAAAGGGAGATAATCACGAAGTTCGTCTGCTAGATCCACAGACAAGGGTTGGACTGCGCAGCAAACAAATAAACATAATAGCGATATAAAATAGAAACATTCGGTTCATATGAACACTCCGACAACTAGCTATCACGCCACTGGTGGCATATTGCTAACAAATTAATTAACAGAATAATTGCACAGAATAAATATTTCATTTTAATTTCATACTCCCGTTATTGTTCGGCCTCATGCATAATGAGGCGAGACGTTTTTTCCAAAATATAATCATTTATTTATTTGGCAACTGAAATTTTTCAGGTTCCGCACAAACCATGTGCACATAACATGTCAAACTAACAGCCCTTTGAAGATTTTTTGAAAGCATACTGTTACAAATCAGACACCTTTTCAAAGAAGGAAATATATATCTGAAATGCCCTTTTTGTCTTTTTCATACCTAAAACATACACTGACTACGAATTTCAGTTTACAACGCCCAACTATAAATGCAACATTTTTTAAGTTTGGATATTTTTAACAAAACGATTGATTCAGTATTCTACACCACTAGCAGTTACCTACTTTGGGTTTATTCCTTAACAAACTATAGTCATTTCACTCATACCCATACGCACGCACACACATCCCAACCAACCATCCCGTCTTCTTCCAAACCCTGAAATCAAATATGGTGCTCCTTCAGCGCTGTAAAACCCTTTAATGGTGCGTCTGTGTGTGTGTGTGTGTGTGTGTTTCACCCACAGAAAGTTAAACAACAATTACTCGTTCAGTGTTCATGCAACACAATACTTTATTAAACTCTTAGTGATAACTGTATCTGATTTATACTGAGGGAAACAAATAAGGGAACACCACTTCATGGCAGTGTTCCTTTTTTTATTCTCAGATTTCCTGCAGCACTAATCAAAGCTGGTGATGAAAACTGGAAAATATTAAAGGAACGCTTGAATTTTACTGTGTTCCTTTATTTGCTTCTCTCAGTATATATACAGCAAATATAAAGTAGTAGAGTATCAGTTTGAAAGGAAATATATTCGAAACTACTCATTATCATTTTGATGTATGTGGAACGACTTGTAATAGTTTCACATAGGAAAATAGTTTATTGTCAGGGTTGGAGGAAAAGCTTGACTTTATCCGGTGGTGAAGATATACACAAGCGTTTTGTTTCGGTATCTACTGATATTTGTCTCCGGATATATTTGCTAGGATGAGATAGTCCGAGTGTATGCACAAAGAACTTCCTGACAACGGTCGCTCGGTGTTGATTACCGGGAATACATTATGAAACGCAGATTTAGTGTGTGTGGTGAGTGAATATGTTTTTATGCCGCCGTTTGCAATATTCCAGCAATACGGAGGGGACACTAGAAATGGCCTTCAAACATTGTACCCATGTGGAGAATCGAACCCGGGTGTTTGGCGTGACGAGAGGACGCTTTAACCACTATGCTACCCCCACAGTAAGACTAACAACTAGTCTCTGAAATGAACATATTTTACTGAAAAAAGTTCATAGTAAAAAAAATAATAATAATGAAAAGGAGCCCTGAGACTTTCTTCATTTTCAGCCTGAAGCTGAGTAAATCTAGACTTGCCACATTTTCTAGACTTGCGTGGCCTTTCTTGGATATATTTGCTTCAGAGTCTGTACGACAGACTACCCCCACAGTGTGTGGAGTGGGCGTGAGGAGGGGACAGTAGAGTTGCCCCAATTCTCTCCCACTTATCTTCCCACTCATTAAGGACGTTTAGGCATATATGAAACACAACACTATTTGGTTATACGTTTTCAACAAAAGTACTGAACAAAAACAGCCAAATCACAAAATTCCCCCTTTTCAAAACCCTACTATCCGTGCCTAGTAGCAGATGCTCTGGGTCTTTTTATAATTTCTCTTATATCACGAAACACTCATGGACACGGTATTTAGGAATCTAAAGAAGCACAAAATACACCGGAACAGGAAATTAATGTAGACTCATTTAGACATCACTTCACCCGAGGCCAGGCCATTGTATATTGCTGTGTATCATCAAGGCGTTAGGGATCCCATATAGATTTGTGAAGTCTGCTGTACAACGGTATCTGACAATATTATCGTTCTAGGCGGTAAATATCCGGGGCTATGACAAACAGTGTGTGTTTGGTGATCTTCCTCATCTAGTTGTACCAGATGTTAGTCAGCACACCTTTACACACACTCTGGGAGCCTCTCACAGAGATTATGTAAAACAAGGAATCCAAATCCAGCCTAGATTGTTTCGCAAGTTTTGATTACCCCGGCCGATCCTTTTGATACATATTTTTATCCATTGTTTCGTGTTATACCATTCCGTTCTAAGCCATGTTTTTGTTGTGAATATCTTCAAGTGATTTTATTCATGTTAGTGAGTTAGTATGGTTTTACGCCGCTTTTAACAATATTCCAGCAATATCACGACGGGGGACACTAGAAATGGGCTTCACACATTGTACCCATGTGAGGAATCGAACCCGGGTCTTCGGCGTGACGGGCGAACGCTTTAACCATGCACCTGGCTACCCCGCCGCCCTCATGGTAGGAAATCAGTTTGGGTACACGTTTGATCCACGGCCGCATCATACGAAGAGATTACCTTGACGTTACCCTGCTGGCGTTCTGTATTCTAGAGCTGAACAAGCAGTGGTCGTCTCGTAGTCCGTATACTGAGTCTGACTGGGCTAAGCAAGCTAACCTACAGCGTGGTATCTCAGTACGCTATCAATATATCACTGGGTAAGTCCGAACAATGATAAGTACAAACTCGTGTACATGCGTTTTGCTGAATTACATTTTAAACTCCATCTCACCTCACCACGCACGAACAAACAACGGAAACGCAAAAAGAGGCATAAATATTTTAAAAGAAAGCTAAATAAGGGAATCGAGTCCTTGTTACGTTTTAATTCACTAACTAAACTGTTGATTCACAACCTACTCCTGTACATAATTAAATGCGTACTTAGATTGACTGGTTTGGTTCTTTAAGGCACAACACCTTGAATAGCGGATATTAAAACCCTATCACCCCTGGCTATTCTAGATTCGCTTGTTATTCTATATTCGCACCCAGCCGAGGTTTGCCAAGTGTTATCTAGCTTTACTCGTTGCCTGACGGGTCTTCGGCCAGCCGAGGCTCAACCGCCAGTCCCCACCGCCCCAGTCCCCAGGTGTAAACGGGTCCACAAGTTGACCCACCGAGAAATGTAACTTTTTCATGGTATTCGTCCTCTAAAACTACTGCATCAATTAAATTATATGGGATTCAATGAAACTCTCTGTGGTGCTTCTACTATCCTGTTTTGACAAAAGGACATTGACGAACTGCATAAAGTTTCCCCGCCAAAGACAGCTGTATTTCAGATCCCTGAGTAATATCAAATATTCTCCTCGTGTTAATATCACGCAGCCAAACCGCCATATTGCATATGCCGTAAAGCTAATAGTAAAGAGAGAAAAATCGATCCCATTAAAACCATACTAAAATATTGCAGGGCAATAAAATTTCTATTGCAATGTGGACTCGACCATAACATTACGTACGCTATCAAAAGGCTACTAGGTGAGGTGAGGTGAAATTGGGTTTTACGTCGTGCTTGAGAATATTTCGCTCATATGACGACGTGCATGCGTGTGTATGTGTATGTGCGGCTGCTTGTACTAGCCCAGACTTAAGCTGGTTTTATAGTGCTAGCCCACTGAGATACCACGCCGCAGTGAAGCATGAATACTCAGACACAGTATACTGACTCCGAGTCGACCAGTCCTTGTTGTACCCATTAATGCCGAGCGCAAGGCAGGGACCAACAAGTACCATATTTTAACGTATTTTGGTATGACGCGGTGGGGGATCGAACCCGTGACCTTCCGCTCTCCGGGCGGACGCTCTAACCACTACACCACGGATCGAGGCTACTAGGTTGGAGAAGGTCGCGGAAGCACTGCAAATGTTTGGTACAAATTACAAAGTGTTTGTTGTTGTTAAACGCCGCACTCAGCAATATTCCCGCTATATAGCGGCGGTCTGTAAATAATCGAGTCTGGATAAGGCAACCACTGACCAATAGCATGAGCATCGATCTGCAATGACATGCATCAACCAAGTCAGGAGCCTGACCACCCGGTGTCGGTGACAAGCATGGGCTCAAGATCAATCCGAAGCCGGATCTTCACGGGTACCAAATTACAACTGCGATACGTATGTGAAAGATGGCACCATCGACTTACTATGTCCCTTGTATAGGTGGTGTAGTGGTTTGAGTGTCCGACCGGAGAGCGGAAGGTCGCGGGTTCGATCCCCGGCCGCGTCATACCACAAGACGTTAAAATATGGTACTTGTTGTTCCCTGACACAAGGACTGGTCGGCTTCGGGAGTCAGTATTATGCGGTATTCATGGCATGGTATCTCAGTGGGCTAGCACTATAAAACCAGCTTAAGTCTGGGCTAGTACAAGCAGCCGCACATACACACGCATTGTAGTCGTCATATGAGCGAAATATTCTTAAGTACGACGTTAAACCCCATTTCACCTCACCACCCGTGCATACATTCTATTGTCTGGCCGTATATAGTCTAAACCCAATTTTGTAATAAAGTGGTTTTTTAGTACATGTATTGATACATGGCTTGTCAATGTATTTCTTGTTCACTATCGGTTCAAAGAGTTCACAATAAAAACATAATGTTCTCATTTTATTTTTGAATTCAACTCACAATACAATGTCGACATAAACGACCAACATGACCGAAAAAAAAGTTTTTTATTCAAACAATTATCTTTTAGCTGTATGTTACTTTTTGTATCCGCGTGACTGTTTTTAATTAACCGTTATACGCCTCCCTGGAACTCAGATCGACCGTGTACATATATCGGAGTGAGTGTAGTGCGGCAACGAGAAATATTTTCTTCACGTGCCATGGTCTTAGACCAATACACGTCCTTTGATGTAATCCGAAATGAAT